CATTTCTGGCTGAGCCACTGGACGAGCCGGTGTGGAGGTACCTGCCTGCATCGATGGTCCCGGGGGCATTTGCACCGATCCCTCTTCAGGGACTTTTCGGCCAGTTCTCTGGATGGCCTGCCATTCCATGGCTGCTTCCTGACCCTCTGGCACGTATATTCCCAGTGCCGTCTGCTGCGCATCAAAGAGGCCACGCAGCTTCCCGGGTATACGTTGGAGGGCGTCCCTTGGGACTTGGGCCCTGTATGGGCCATGTCCTCCACGGGGATGATAATACCCCTTAAAGTATACCCCTCCATGAGGGTCATGGAAGGCGCCCAACGTATCCCAAAAGCCCCTCGTGTCCTGGATGACAGGAACACGCATCACTGGGGTGGGCTTTGCAGCCTCGGGCGGCACCTTGGCACGTCCTCTTTGATCAGCCGCCATTTGCTGGGCGCGGCGTTCCTGGTATCCAGGCCCCGGTTTCGCCGGTTTCTAGGCAATTTCCTGCCGTCCATGAGAAATCTGCTTTGCTTCTTGCAGCTCCAGATATGCTGCATAGTCTTCATCCCCCATCAAGGAACGAAGCTGTGCAGCTTTCTCTGCATCCGCCTTTGCTTTCTGCAAAGCAGCTTCCTGCCTCTGCAGGATCTCATAGGTCTCCCGTCTTTCCCGGGGAATTGGACTGGCAGGTTCACCTGAAACTAGCCTTTGCTAGGCTGTATTCTCGCCTCTGCAGGCGGGTCTTTTGCCTTATCAGGCTGTTCTTTCGCCTTTGCTTCTCCAAGCAGGATCTCCCTCTCCGGCATCCTTTGCACCTTAGGACCGCTGGTTACCACAACCGATGGCGATGCCGGCTCCGGTTGGAGAGGGACAAAGCGGGCAGGGTGGTTTACACCACTGTCACTGCCGCTACTGTCCTGCTGGTCTGCCCAGCGGGTGGAGGTCCCCTCCTTGGCAACACGGGCAAAGGCCTTAGCCTGCTCGGCCGGGTCCAGCTCATCGACCTTGGGCTGTATCTCCAGGCGCTGCGCCTTTTGGCTGCCTCCTGCGGAGAAAAACCGCTTGATCTCAGCCTTGCGCTGGCGTTTGTGAGCTCGCTTACGCTCATACTTTTCAGGATTCAATTGACGATCCCGCTCACGTCGCAGCGCTTTCAACTCTCTCCGCTGTTTGGCCTTTCTGGCCTTTTGCTCGTCTAATTTCTTTGCACGAGCAAACGATCTCGGTTACGAATCCGTCGTCTCTCCTTCTCCATCCTATGCACTTGTGCACGGGTTGACATATCACCCGGCAAAGGAGAAGCACATGATGAGAACGACAATTCCGAGATCTCCTCCCACCGCTCGTGGGGATCATTAGGGTCTGGTCTCTCTGGACTCCCCTCGCTCAAGTCCCATGGTTCCGGGATATGCCTGAGCGCAAAGGCCATCTTTTCTGGCCAATTTGGGTCCTCTTTGGCAATTTGATCTGCCATTCCAGGACCATACCACCTTTGTATTCTAACCAGTCTGGCGGTGGTTAACCTTTCTCCAAACTGGTCGGCGGCCATCCGCCATCCCTCGTCAAGCTCATCGACGAGATCGCTGTGGAACTTTGTCCACATTGCACGGCACGGTGGTTGCCGGTTATATGGATCTCGAGTGTCTGGAACGAACTCCAGCACCCTTGAGCTTTCACCAGGCCCCCACTCTGGTAACGCAGGCCTCCGAGGGCTCCAATTATGGCCTCCCGGCCTTGGCGGACTTTTTCCGCAAACAGCTTGAGCGCTTTCTGTGAGCGACTCATCTCCAGTCCCGTCCGATCCACTAGGTGTTCTCACATACACCTGAGATTTGAGCCGTAGCTCCGGGATCTTGACCTTCCGGCCTTGCATTCTTTCAACTCGCTCTAAGGCTTTGGCCTCCCGGCCTTGATATGGAGATTTCTCACTTTCCATCGGCCGCTCACCTGGCGATGGACTCTTCCGCTTGGAGCGCTGCTTGCCAGCAACCTTCCAGTCTTCCTCTGGGATGGTTGGCATGGGCAGCTCCGACGGACTGGGGGCCCTCACAGCTGGCACCACCTATTGGGCGCTTCTCTCTTCTGCCTCCTGGGCCCGCTGCTTTTGCTTCAGGAGGCGGTCACTCAACGCCTTGACTTGGTCTTCGGCGGAGGTTTTGGCTTCTTGTGCCTCGCGGCTCTGCTGCTTCGCCTTCTTCATGGCCAGCTCTTTTTCTCGAGCTTCTTTCTTGGCCTTGTTGACGGCGATCTCCAGCGAGGCGATCCTCTCGGCGGTCTCTTCATCCCGCTTCGCTCTCGCCTTCTCGGCCGCGGTATCCGCCATCTTCTGCAGGAGCTCTTTGATACCGGGGATCTTCAGCAACGTCGCCGCCGCCTCTGCGTCCTGGTCTTGCTCCTGCGTCTTCTCCGCCGCCGGCGGGGTATCCACTTCTTCCATCGGCTCATCTTCTGCTGCGGGTGCCGATGTGGCTGTGGAGGGTCCAGCCATATCCTCCCGGACTGTTACACCTCCTGGCCCATCCCGGGCTTGTTCAGTTCCTTGCCCATCCCGGGCTGTATCGATCGCCTGCCCATCCCGGGCTTGTTCTTCCCCCTGCCCATCCCGGGCTTGTTCTTCCCCCTGCCCATCCCGGGCTTGTTCCTCCGATTCCTCAGCCTCCATGGAGGAGGCCGGGGAAGGGCTTCGGCGTCTTGTACTCTCGCGCGCTCCCAGGTGGAAGCGTGGCCGCCACCCTCAGGCGGCTCCGAAACCAATTGTTACGAATAGGATGTGGGTGTGGGGTTCCTGCCCTCTTTGAGCCTCGGACCCGCCTCGCCGGGCACCTAGGTCCTTACAGGGCACCTAGGCGGGACCACCCCTCCTACTCCCGTATCCTAATATGGATAAAGGTTACAGTGGGTGAGGAATAGTACGTGCCTTGGGCAGGGCATCCCCCACACCAAGGGCCATTAGTAGGACGTCTCCCACATCAGGCTGGTGCGCGTAACAATGAGGTTATTAAGGTAATTTAAGTCATTTTGCCTATTTTTAGCCATTTGGGGAATTATTCCTTCATGGAACCTGTGTGATTATGAACATTATACTTTATTATGATGTGGTGCGCGGTCATGGGTGGATGGGAGCCGCCAAGAAGTGGTGGAGTACACTCCAAGGGATTATGGTGTTGATCCGGCAGTAAGGGCATCTGTCAGGTACTTGCATTACATTGGATCATAAGTACAAGCGCCCCTACCACCATAGGACGTTGGAGGGACGTGGCATTGACTGGGGAAACCGCCTGGCATTACTAGAGGCATGCGAAGGGGCCAAGGGACCATGTGAATGGCTCTCCAAGGGCCGAGGTGGTATTACAGGAGGCCGATGTTGGTATTACAGAAGTGTATTAAACATTGCAAGAGGCCAAGGGTGTCATGATGAGAGGGTGAGCGCGCCACCTATAAAAGTGGGTACCCCATAGGCCATTTGTCTCAGTTCGCCAATGCACTTAACCTTTTCTGTATAGGGGACCCACCACCATTGTAATACATTGCCGACTGCCGTCGTTCGGCCTTGATTTGGTTACGATTATTCTGGGGGATTCTACAAAAGGCACCGCATAATATGGACCCGCATAGGTGGTAGCCCAGCCAGCACCAACGCAGCCCCGCTCGAAGTGGTGCGCTCTAGACAGAACGACTGCTCTTCATTTTTCCAGTCTTTAGTGAGGCACCTAGGGGTAGTTGCAGGGTCACGGCAAAAGTCCAAAGGCTAGTCAGGAGGCCTCAAATATGGATGTAGGCAAGGACGTGGCCGGTACCAGCAGTAGTAGGTTCATACAATAGGTCAGAAGTAGCAACAACCTCAATCAATGTAGGCAAAGGCAGAGGTAGAGGTCATGGACGTGAGGGACATGATCAAGGCCATGGTGGTGGGTGAGTTTATGGTGTTGGTAGCAAAATGTCTAATTTCTTGTTGTGGTTGGATTTCCAGGTGGCAAGGGCTGATCAAGCAGAGGCAAGAGCATGTCGCCCTCTACCTTGGTATAACAAAGCAAGCCCATATGCAATTGTAAACATGCACCACGTTGCCACCTTACATGAATGTTAGTTGTGCCGCCAACATAATGAAAGCAAAACACACTGAAATAGAAAACGACTGAACACAACCACGCACTGCAACACGAACAAAAAGCCTTTACGCGTTATGGCCAACGTGATGGGTGAGCGATGTCTATCCTGGGTACAACATAGGATGGAGGTAGCCGGACTTGGATCCCGACGATGGAAATTACCACTCGAAATTGATACCCAACGTTGGCAACCCAATCGAAACACCAAAATTGGCTCTAGCCCCTGATGCCGGGGCCGTTCACGACACACCAAGTAATTGTGCCCCTGCGCTCGGGGCTCGATGTTAACCATGGCCCGATGTCACACGCTAATATCAGGAGCCCGAAGTTTGCTTCCTCCTCCGATGCAGCCCCGATATTAGAATCGGACATCAGGTGCATCGACATCGGGTGCACAGGCCTAGACTGATTATTGGCTGTTGATTGGCCCCAACGCCCCCACCCCACAAAATAATATTACTGCCTGTACCAAGTCGGTCATTGCTTGCACCAAGTCACGCGCACACTAGGTCCTCACCTCAATTTTAGGTTTAGGGTGAGTTTTAGGTTTTGCGTTTGGGGTTAATGTAGGCTTAGGTTTAGGGGTTACGTGTTAGGTGAGGTTAGTTTTGGAGGGATATTTTGGCGCAAGCGGTCACCGATTTGGTGCAGCCAGTAATTGTTTGCCCTGCCCGACAGGGCAGTGCTGAGGCGCTGCTGACGCCACGCACACCTGGCCCCCGCTGATTCGACGGGACTCCTGGGCACCCCTCCCCCCAAACCTGGGGAGTGTTCCGAAGGCAGGCAGCGACGCCAACTCGGTGAACGGACCGTGAGCGGCGCCCGCAGCAACGTCGCCAGCGCGCCGCGTGGGCGGACCCATCGCACCCCCTCGCTCCTCCGGCCGCAGCCGCGCAAGGGCGATATATGACGGGTCTCGCCCGCCGCTCCTTCCGAAAGCAAGTGGGGGACTACTACCTTGGACGCACGATTGGAGAGGTGGGGCGATGGCGGCCGTTCGCACGGCTGCGGCTGGTCAAAATCGCGACGCTTGGCGTCGCTGGCGGGCGGGCTGGGTCGATGCTATGGAAGATGGGCCCTTTGTCGTCCCGCGCGGCGTGCGCTGCGCATCTTGTCCTGGGACTTGCCTGTTGCTCTCCGTTGGTATGGATGTGGCAGGGGACGCTGGCCTCCGAGGCTGTCAGAGTTCCACGCGCTTCCCCCACTTTTTGTTTCAAGCCCAGTCCCCGCGCGCTGAAACGATCTTGGCCGCTTCGTAGGGTGCCTATGCGAAGGTCAAGTACGGAGAAAATGTCAAGACGGGAGAGAGGGTGGCGATCAAGGTGGGATTGACCATCGTGCCATTGGGCGCATAGACAACGGCGCTGGGGCCAGGGACTGGGGCTAGGGCCAGGAGATGGCGAGGCTTGATGAGAACTGTTTGCCGTGGCGACCCGGGCCATTTGTGACAAGCGCGCCTTGTGCACAGGGCCTGGCCGTTGGACAGCTGTAGGCCTGCTGCCCTCTCTGCAGCATCCAGGAAAAGCTACAGAACACACCAGGGACGGCCGGACGGCCCGTTTCACGCCGCGGTGAACTGGCGGCGGTGCCCAGAAACTGATTCCTTGGTGGCTTCCGCGCCTCATGCCGTGCGCGAGCTGGGTGGAAAATTCTCGAAAACTGGTCGCGTATTGGTCCCCACTACCTGATCAACGGGTATGCGACTCGTACTCAAGATGCGGGCAGAAGGGGCGAGCAGGGCTATGACGAGAGGCTGGAGAAGGGAACATTCGAACAATCGCACACAACGAAATATTCTCTTAGTCTCGTGCACTGAGACTAGTTTGGGAATGACGTATTGTGCATGTTTTGGTGCAGATTTTGAACAAGAAGGACCTCATTGAGGATGAGATGGTGGAGCAAATAAAGAAGGAGATCGCCATAACGAAGGCACTGAAGCACCCGAATGTCGTCGACCTAATCGAGGTTTGGGCCTATTGCATTGTTACCCCATCAGAATTGTCAACCCCAGCCCCACTTCAGGACTTATATGTGTGTATGTGAAAAGAAAATCCCTTACCCATCGCTTACTTCCAAACAACATGGCTTCTCACTGCTGTTGGTGCGATGTCTATCTTCAGGCAAGCATGTTGTGCAGTGCAGTGCAGTGTTGTGTTGTGCAGTTTAGCACAGGAAACATGGCCTCAGGCTGGGCTGCGATGCCAGGTTGAGGCATATTGAGTTGGCGAGCAGCTAAATTCAGTGCAAGTCCAGGGAGCAGCTAGGGTATGGATGGTGCAATGTTGAAAACTTGCTCATCTGTGGTTCAGGTCATGGCCTCCAAGGACAAAATATACATGGTGATGGAGCTCCTGACTGGTGGAGAGCTGTTTGATCAGATAGCAGCAGAAGGCCCAATGACTGAATGCAAGGCTCGAAAAGTGTTCCAACAGTTATTGGATGCGCTGGACTATTGCCACCAGGAGGGAGTGTTCCATCGAGACCTAAAGGTGCACACAGGTGTTTTTGGTGTATCGGCAGCTTTCAAAACCATGGCTTGGGACGATGTACTTTGCTTTGTTACTGCTCTCCGCATGGATGAACGATTGCAGTGCACGAAAGGGCTCACAATACAGCCTGTAGTATTGTCTGGCAAGATTTATCTTTTGGAGTCCTGCATTGTGCAGCACAAAAGTGCTTAAATTATGTGAATTGCCCATTTTTCCACCTGTATTCAGGTGTAAAACTACGTACAATTGTCTTTTTCTGAAAACAAAATTTGGGACAGATATGTGGACATTCGACGACCATGTTGCCAGTGTTTGATGGTGTTGTTGCAGTGGATAATAAGCCCTTTTGAGTGTCATTCTGTGACTGTACGGATTTTGAGGTCGTGCAAAACACAAAGATTGTTATAGATGGAAGAACAGGGCACGCAGTCAGACAACTTTGCATCTGAAGAACAAAATGCAGGAGATTCTTTTTTACCCAGATGATAGCAGTTTCAGGAAGGAGTGCTCTGCGATGTAGGGCTGTGCTTTTCTGCTTGTTGGCCGTGTTTTCAGGGAAGTCTTTTGACGATGCCTGAAGTTTGCCCCCTTTTAGTCCTTTCAGCAGCTTGGCTCAGATTGTTGTGCATTTATTGGTGCAAATCAGCCAGAGAATGTGCTTCTATCGGGGAATGGCAGTGTAAAGTTGTCCGATTTTGGACTGGGGGCGGCAACCATGACGCAGTCCATGTCTCCAGATGGATTCCTGAGGACAACGTGCGGAACCCCAAACTACGTAGCCCCGGAGGTCCTCAAGAGACGTGGCTACCATGGGGCGCCAGCAGACATCTGGTCTTTAGGCAAGTATCTGTTTCCTACTTGCCATTCACTGTTGCATGTTTTGCATTTGCGCTCATGTTTGCATTCTTTTTCCTGTAAGCATAACCTTGCTCAGGAGAAACAGGAAGGTTGTTCCATGGAGATAACAGTGTGCTGTATGGAACCCTGATCAGTAGGACATGTGCTCATGTGCATATGATACCCACAGACAACTCTTCACGCACACTACAGAAACAAAAGTGTTGGGGGCAACAAGGGTGTCTTGGGTTGCGCGACGGGTGGAGGCGTCAAGTGGATTCCCTAAACGCCAAATGTACGGTGCCACACCGGGCGCCATTGCGCACGTGGTGTCACAAGACCCAAGATACATGTGGGATAATCACAGTAGGCATAGCACACTGTGCTTCTTTTCATTCTTAAAGATGTTATGTCTGATATGTCTGGCTATTTAATTAGATATGGAGACACAGTAAGTGAACCTGTGCTGACATGTTCAGGCTGATCGGGGCACAAGCCTATCCACATTTCAGTAAGCACCGTGCACTGCGGTGGAATGCATGTCTTGGTTGCCTTAAAGTGAAAAGCAGAATGTGTCTGTATGGAAAGGCTTGTTGATTGCTCATGAGCTGGTAACATGACTGTAACACAATCAAAAACCAGTTCTGCCCTGAATGGAAGCAGTCTACAGTGGCACCTTGTACTTGTGTATTTTTGTCATCAGTATGCAAAGGTCACCAATCCTGGCTTGTTCCTGGTGCAACTGGACAAGCAGAATTTCTGTGCATCAATTCATCCACTGGGAAGCAGCATTCACTCACATTGCCGTTCGCCAGTTAGCACTGTGGCATTCAAGCCAAAATTGCTCTGCAGGTGTCGTTCTGTATGTGGTGGTGGTGGGGCAGCTCCCATTCGATGACAGGAGTCTTCCAAGATTGTTCCAAAAGATCGCAGCTGCTGACTTTGACATGCCATCACACCTGTCGCCTGAGTTGAAAGACTTGTTGAAGAGGCTAATGTTCCCTGATCCCCAGAAAAGGATCGCGATTCATGAGATCCGGTCCCACGATTGGGTGGACAGAGGTGAGCTCTAGCTTGTAGCTCTAGTGCTTTGTTTCAAAGACAGTCAACACAGGTGATGTCATGTTTTCTCCTACAGGCCATGGCCTATGTACCAACTTATGTGATGTGTTCCCACCTGTTGTCAAGCAAAATCTAGAAATGCTGAAAGGAGAAGCATAACTCACACCCAGCTGCGAGAGTTGAAGAATGTCTGGTGTGTGTGTAAATCTGGACAAGAAGCAGACTGCAAAGATGGCAAACATCAGCAAAGGCGAAACTGCCTGTGATGCAGGGCGGACGTGTGCAGTATTGCCTTAGGATTATACTGCTGCCGCTTGCGGCGCTTACCAGCAAATCCAACCTGCATGCACTGCAATCTCCTGGTTGTTGCTGCATGGAGCTCCAGGGATCTCCCATCTCAAGCAAGTATCGTTGAATCGCAGTGTTGCATGATCTTTTGGTACATAGGCAGTGGGTGGGGCTTTGAACTTGATTTGCAGATGGTTAGTAGTTGAATTTGCAAAGGTAGCAAGGGAGTTTAAAGACAATCGATGTGTACATGTGTGCGTGTACACTGTACATGCACCTGTTAGAGGTCTAGGCTGTCAGTATTCCAGGGGTACAGAATTCTAGGAATGTGTCCAGCATCACAAGGCGAAGTGCCGAGATGGGCGGTTTCTCAAAGACTTGTTCTCTGTGGATGTCCAACAACATGCGTCTATCTCTATCTTAGGAGGCTTTTAGCTTGAGATCCACACGCAGAAGCTGTGCTAGTCCCTAAGTGTGACCTGTTGTCCACTGCTCAACATGGAAACAAGGATTGTGTCTTTGCAACCATCTTGGCGGGATGTGGTTTTCTTTGCCAGGCAGCCACTGAGTATTCAAACTGAAAAAGGGTCGGATTCTGTCAGCCTGCAGCGTCCATTCTGATAGTAGGATAACTGCTTGCTGTGTGTTGCTGACAGAGTAATCCTTGTTTGGAACTTGCAGATTACACACCAGTGGTGCCCCCAGAGCTGATGTCATCGCCCAAGGCCGCAGATGCTGAAGACATCTTCCAGGAGAATGTGGAATTAAAGCGGGTAGTTGTTGGCGAGAACAGCACAGACGAGCCCTGCTCACAGGGGACAACTCTGCACCGTAGCAACAGCCAGTACACTGCCTTTCATTTGATTGGCACTGCGCTGGATCTGTCAACGTTGTTCGAAAATCGCAGAGAGGTCATCCAGAGGTGTGTTGCTGCACTATGAATGAACAATGTCTCTTACACTATGCTGTGCATGTTCAGCCAGGATTGTGTCCTTTCCGAATGTACCTGCCCATACGAGGGCAATTATTGTCCTGGTACAATCCACAGCCTGCAGAACAGTAGAGAGAATGTGTGCAGACTGGCTGCTCTGAATATGAAGCGAATAATTCCATGAATGTTGTAAGGGTTGGGCTGGCGCTTTGTGTGCACGATTGTGCCATTTTCTGTTTTGTGTCCATGTGACATTTGGGCAGTGGCAATACCCTGTTCTTGTGTTTTGTTTCACGCCCATGAGGTGCTCAGCCCTCATTATCATCTCGTTTTGTTTTCAACATGACTACACAGCGAAGTGTTCAAGCAAATGCCTACTTTTGCCAGTGGGTGCCAGTGCCAACACCGCAATGGACTGGTTCTCCTCAGGAACACGCGTTTCACGTGCTATGGAGAACCCGCCGACGTCCTGAATCGCATCAGCAGCTCCGTATGCGAAGTTGGCGGCCGTGTCGAGCCAAGGAACGGCGACCGTATCAAGATTTATTTCGCCATCAGCGCCCAGCGCACGATCGCTGCGAGCGCCGAGGTGTTCGATCTGCTGCCGGGCATCCAAGTCGTGGAGATACAGCGGAACAGGGGGGACCGCCGGGACTTTCGCGAGTTCTACACCATCATCACAACTGCCCTGCAAGACCTCATGACTTCGAGGGATGATGATGATGCAGGGTCTCGTTCCGCACCATCTTGCGTCAGTCCCCAAGCTGTGTGATGCAGCCCAGGAGCGCACCATGTTAATGACCGTCATCCTCTGCACGTTGCAGGGCCGGAATTTGCCGTGTTTGCTGAGGTGGCCAATGGGCCAGATGGAAGCTGAGGGCCGCCTTTCCCAATGTCTGCTGATAGGTGAATGTGCAGTGTTTTGTGCGTTTGGTGAATGTGCTCAAAGAGAGAATTAATCGCATCCGGCCCTTGCAATAATTGGGAATTGGGGCCAGGGGAGCTGCTTGTAGATGCAGATAGGCAATTGTCGGGTACCAGGCTGATACAGCGCTGGTGCGAGGATGCGACCACAGTGGTAATGGCTAGGATACAACGTCCAGGCATTTGTGAGCGCAGGGTTCGCAGAGGACCAATCGGCATGCAGGGGAATATATTGTTGTTGCTCAAATAGTGGATTGGTAGCACAAATGGCTGATAGTTTGTTGGTCCCCAAGTTTGATTTTTACATAAAGCAGTCCCTGTCTCGACAGGTTGGGGTGGGAGGATAGACGATACGTTGGATGCTTCCCTGGGGTGTGTTGACTAGTCTAGTACAGCAACAAGGGCAGTGTGTGTACGGCATGTAGATTATGTGGGGGATGTTCACAGCGGAACGATTTTAAAAAAACAGGTTTGAATCTTAGTTAACTATGGCATTAAAAGCGAAGAGGGCAGCATCCGTTTCTTCAGCCAGCGTCATACACGTAAGATTCTAGGAGTTGCGCCTACACCACGCGTGGCACTTGGAGATGACACACTCTGGAAATGAGTGCATATACAGTCCATGAGTGTGTGCACTGTGCCTAACTCAGAACCATCTCCATTACTGAGCTCCAGACGCAAGGGGCGACATTGCCTGCAGGCCCTTGTGTCCTCGTGGCAAGTACGACACGCAGTAAGTGTTGAAATATGCAGAGTGTGCAAAACCATCAATTGGATATATGCGGCGTCCTTGGACAGCGGAGTTGTAAGGCAGCGCCTTAGTAACAAAGCAGCAATGTGCGCCACGAACATTGCCACGTAAACTCCAAGTCAGGGACAGTTACAGCGGCTCTTAGCACTGCAGCCATCAGCATGCAGTGGTCAGTACAATGACAGCGGTGTGGCAGAAGAAACATGGTACAACCCAGAGTCCGTCGGAAATTCTTCGCGAAAATTTTCCCCGTGCACGCTACGAGCATGTCTGTGACGTAGATGCTAGTACATTCTTGGTAAATTTTCCGCCCGGACTTTCCTACAGCCAAAACAACGGCCGTGAGGGTCGATTTAGTCCCCAAGTTTGATGGTAAATGACCCAATTAGAGCATAATCAATTGTAGCTTTGACTCAATAGGAAGATATTGCAGCCTCCCCGGAAAACAACATTCACCCTGGAACATCCCGGCCACCGCGCTTTTCAAAATGTTGGTGCACACCGACGTGAGGCGAGGCCTTCTTTCACCTAACTACTGGATAATTAGACAAGTTTTCTGGAGAAATGGGGAACAAGTACGCGCTGAAAGCGCTTGTCTGGCACATGAATGAATTTCCATAACACGAAAGCCTGCATCTTCCCGACGTCTGAACCCCCGTGCCCTCCCATCTCCTTGCTTTGCTATGCCCATTTTTCGTGAATGAATGAAATGTTCGCCAGAACTCCAAAAGGATGTTCATCGCCAGGGAGTTTCTGCCCTATCGGTCTCCTGAGCCCACCCGTTCATGTAACGCCCTTTGACAAACACTTACAACTTCACCACAAACCAATGTATTGTACGCGAGGTCCCCATACTCACAGTTTGCCCTTCGCTTCGCTAGCGCTTAACCCCACTCAGCGAGTGGCTCTGCCCATGAGTCAGCTCCCTAATCCCATACTTCACTCCCGTCACTCCCTCTCCATCCCACAACTAATCCGAACACCACTTCTAGGGCGGGAGGGCCGGGTGCGAAACAAGATAAGGAGGGGGACCAAGGGGGGAGCTCAGATAGCCGCCCCCACTCAGCCCGGCCAAAGCTCGCCAAACCCGAGGGCGCCAAGGTTGGCGGCACCTTGTATTTTCGTACTTTGACTGTGCCACAGTACTAGGGTGGCCAGAAAGTCCCGAGACGGGGGCTGAGTAAACCCCAGGTTCCAAAACTGCGCCGTTTGAACCACTGGCGCAGCCCACCCGTCGTCTCCCTTGGCAGAGACCCATTAACAAGATAGTTAATTTCATTGCCGCAAAGGTCCGCAGCGATTTCCGATTTCTGAAAAGCTTACATGTGCACATGTCGAGCCGATGCTGCGATCCACGCAACAAGGAACTGGGAGGCCAGCAGAAACATTGGCTGATGTGCTCTCGTGTGGAAGAGTTGCTGCTCATGACACGACCTGGATTGTGGTTGGTAACGACAAGGCTTGGCAAATGAGTCAAGGTGCAGATGCATGATTGAGAGTAAATACGACTATTTCTCCTGAGCAGAAGGAAGCCATCTGGTAAGGCAATCCACCTTGACACAGTGCTTGCAGAGCGGATGCCAGCACAGCCAGTGCTTAAATTCAACGCAGTAGTAGCATTTCAAAGATCTGTTTTCTCAAGCAGTGCTGCTGTACGGTCGAGAGAATAGGCTAGACTACAACGTCTTGGTCATGATATCAGACGTGTCGAAATACAACACAAAAGAGGGACGTCGATGTAGGCACGAAGATCTCGAATTTCGTCTCTGCAATGTGCATTCATAGTCCCCCCGAGTACAGAGTCAGGACCGAATTGCGTCCATGAACTGTGGGGAAGGTTGTCAAAAACCTGCACATATTCAGGCCATGAGTGTTTCCACCTGACAAACAGCACTCTGAAGATCTACTGAAGTAGAAGGAATAGGTGTGTCAGCTTGTATTGGCAATGTACTGCTGTGGAGACACGCTTAACTTGAAACATATGACACGGTTTTGTTCATGGCATGACACAACACGCCGGGGGGGGCCACATTTTGGATATGTCCCGTAGATGCACCAGCACTCGCGATACCCACATCCCTGTCTTGTTTACCGATATACAGCGAGAGAAGACTTCGGGACACAGCACCGATCCACTAACGATCGAAGCCGCCAGTTATGGCTAGTCGTACCCAGGTGGGACAAGTTTGACACATTACTACATTAAAACGCTCCTGGCTACTTTGCAATTCGCCAGCACCGCTCCCAATTTTGTAAAGAGATGTGCTTTGTGCGAAAATTGTCTGTTTCTCCACTGTTCAACTGCTAAGCGACCTATTATCTCCAGCTGAAAATTGTCGCTTCAATTCGTGATTCAGAAGGTGTAGGGCTTTGGAGTCCTGGACGACCATGTACCACGATGGAAGTCGCCGCAACGGCCAGCCGTAAATCGAGGAAAGACTAATGTGCCCCCGAACCCAGCACAGCGCTCACCACATTGCGTTCATACGCTACTCTTTTCACAGAATGTACAGCACCCATACTATGACATCTACTTACCAACCACCGATGTTGCATGCCCACCCCCTCAATCGAGCATTACCCCCCAAACGGTAGTGCATCCCCAAATCAAAAGAGCTAATCTGTGTAACACATCCACGCCAATCAGCAGAACAACAAAGACAGTCAGCACTACCGAATTCGCAATCCCTGCTTGCCGTTAGCATGCAGTCTTCCCATAACAAATTCCCGCGCTACAGCACACAGCAAAAGAAATAAGAAAATTGACACCACGAATAGGAGTCAATACACTTTGTAGCAGTCGCCTACTTCTTCTTCAGCTGTGGGGGCGTATCACGGCGTGTATTGTGGCGCACATTGTTGAGGTTGGCGGGGCGGGGCCGGGATCAGATACACTCCTTCAATGGATGGCTGAACGCAGCAAGACAAACGCACAAACGTCTTCAGAACAAATTGAAGTCAAGGCCTGTGCACGCAGCTGCACCTCCTAAAGACTTATCAGCTGGCAGGATAGGCATTCGTGGCACAGCTTCTCCCCTTTAACGTATGTTTCACGTAATCGGTTTGCAGGAACGCCTATCGAATTTTCAGTCACTCGCCTTGCTCGACATCGCCTATCAGGAAAAAGCGACCCCTTTTCGAACTCATTCAAACTGGTAACGCATCAATGCAGATTACTAATTTGCTCGACAGTACAGTTGTGAAAGCTTGCAATAAGGGAAGAACTACGAGGTTTTGTCCCCCGCTAAAAGTCACCCATGTTTCGATTGTGGCGCCCAAACTCCATGCGCATTTTCCGTTTCCAAAACACTCGTAGAGCTGCCATGCAATGCATGGCCTCATGCCATAAGGTATTGCACAAATTTTGTGAATTAATTTTTAAAATTAAGACCATTCTGTGCGGGTGGTTTCCTGGCAAGAGAGGACATGATCGCATAGCCAAATGGTGATGGTAGCCGTGTAAACGCACTCGATCTTGACCGCAGAAATTCTTTGAAACCACCGGCTGGAGATTTCGTGGCTTTGGCCATATTTCCTTATTGTTTGGAATCCTAATTGACGCAATTTGGAGCACAGAAAAGCAGTTGGTCAAGTTGCAAGTGTGCAATGTGCAATGGTGTGAAGATCGGTTTTCAGTTTGGCTAGACGTTGTGCAAGATAACACACCACGTGGCACCAAATCGTGTACCCTTTTCCGTGGGATTTTAAATCAACTTGCTTGGGGACTTGCAGCCAATGAATTTACCGATTTTGCAAAGGGACCCACCAGCCAAAGAACACATTCATTCCCACTAAAATACCCATGTTTTGTACCGGAAGTCAGCGAATCGACTGCTTTTTGCTGCTTGCCGCTTTCACCCCTCTTGTGTCGATGATCATTGACAGGTTAATCAAGAGCTCCTTTGTGCTCACACACGGTCGCTCCTTGGCACGAGAAGCAAGGCCGCAACCAGATGCATTACAGGATGATCGTACCGGCTAAATAACAATCACTGCAATAACATTCAACCCCCCATCTCCGTTGTCTCCACATACACTCACCGTGATACCATACTCACCACATTCACTTCGTACCATAAAAGACACCATATATCATA